TGAACACAGAAAGAGGCTGCAGAGCTGGGATTTGTGTGCCCCTGTGATGCTGTGTGCCAACTGCCAAGCCCCTTAAGATATCCAAGGGTAGTAAAGCTGGGACGTTTGAGGGGAGAAAGAGGCAAAGATAATGGCAGGGATTTCTTGGTATTTCAGCTCACTAAACAAGGAGAGAGGCTGCAGAGCTGTGATGCTCTGTGCCCCTGTGATGTTATGTGCCAACTGTCAAACCCCTAAAGACATCCAAGGTTGTAAAGCTGGGATGTTTGGGGAGAGAAAAACAGAGGAGAGGGAGGAACAGGACCAAGCTCAGATAAAATTTGTTAGGGATTTTTTATTTTTTTTCCCAGAGCTGGGAGGGGAAATTGCTTCATCATGAAATCATTAGACTGTGCCCAGAGAAACAAGACTCGGAGGAAGGAAAATAACTAGGAGGAGATTCCCATTTCTAGATCTGGGTTAGTTTCTGTAGCAGAATAGGAGTTTGGTTTATGTCTCAGTAACCTTCTCATGTGGAAACACTTGCTCAGGGCATGTGTCCAGTCACTGGTACTAAACTTTTGACACCTTGTCTAAGAAACACTACAGATTTTAGGATTTTTTTAAAGGAAAATCCCATTTCCATTCATCTTGCAAGGACAGATCAGATTCAGATCTTTCAAAATCTCCATCATGCGATTTCAGTTTGGGCTGTCATTGAGCTAGTGCATATGGTAAATGTAATTAAGTAAGGGGGAGAAGCACTAGCATCCCTGCCAAATGTGGCTGGAGGCTTAAGTTCTGGCACAGGAGCCTGATGAACCCTCTCCAGCTCTTTCTTTCGTGCAGCTTGGGGCTGGGGAATTGAGCAGGACGGCCTGGCTGGCTGGCCATGGTGGGGAGTGTCGGTGCAGCCCAGCCAGCAGCGCTGGCGCGGGGCCTCTCTGGTGTCCTGAGGGGTCCAGCCTGCACCACCCAGTCCAATTTATCCATTTCTGTTTTCCCGCCACAGAAGGCACTGTTAAAGAGCTGCTGGCTGAGAGAGTGGCATTTTAAGGTAGAGGAGGGAGAGAGAGAGAGAACAAAAAAGAGTTCACTTTGCCAGGAGCATCCCACACGCGTACATAGCGAGGCTGCCAGATCCAGGGACATCTCCCCTTGAGCTGTTAATGGTAGCCTGTGCTGACTTCTGGCTTTGGTTCCAAAATCCGTGAGCCCCTTGGCCACCCAGGTCTCATTTTAACCCTTCGCTGACCCCCAAAGGGCAGGTTCAGCGGTGAGCTCTGTGCTGTGTAGCAGGCAGATCACCTCTGGCCATAGCAGAGGCCCCAGGTGGTTTGGCTGACAGCTGCCCCGTGACCCCGTTATTTATTAGCGCCAAACAAAGGCCCCCAGAGCCACCGTGACAAACCGATTCAGCCCAACCCGCAGCGTGCAGGGGAAGGTATCCAATGTGTAAATCTGTCATGCATGGACCTCCCATGTGCTAGTCCAAGGGCAGTAGGACCCAGGTGGAGCCTGCCTTTGCTCCCAGCTCCCAGGGAGCGGAGCCATCCATGGGTCTGGTGAGGGGAGCAGCTGCTGCAGCAGACCAGGGACCCCACGCACACGCAGGACTGCGCTGCAGCTTGGAGCTGGCATGCCCAGCTGCTGCCTCCTCTCCTGCTCAGTCACTTCATCCCTCCTCCACATCATTGCTCTGCTCTTTCTGCCATCACCTCCTTAGCGTGGCCCCTCCGCTCCTCAGAGCTGTCCACAAAGCAGGTCCCTGGGCCGCCCTCCTGCCCTGCCTTGTGCCCTGCTGCCCCAGCACTTCTGCTGGCACCAAAGCCACTGCTGGGGCACTGTGGGCTCACAGACAGGAGACTTCCAGCTCATTTCCAAGTAATGGAGTGTTTTTTATGGTTTTCTACCCCGGTTTCCAACTGAGTCATGTTCAAAAATTCAAGAGTGGTTGGTTATGCTGAGAAGTTATGTGGTAATTGGTCTATGGTTGTTGGCCTGTGTCTGGGTCCGAGGAGGTGCTGTCACAGTTGAGCATGAGAGGAAGGTATGAAGAGCACTTGCTCCCTCTACGGGAACAGTCCAGGGAGTCTAAGAACTGGGGTTCAGGGAGGCTTTGGTTTTGGCAACTTCCTTTGGCTTGTGTTCCTCTTAAAAGGGGATGTTGGGCCATGTGGGCAATGCTTTTGGTTTGGTTTTTTTTTTTTTTTTTGGTAAGTTGAGAGAAGTAGTTTAGGGGAATTTTTAGGGAAAAAAAAATATCCTGTCCTGGTTCTGATTACGGAGCTTGCGAGCACACACATTGTATTGAAACATAGATGTCCAACTGTTATCCATGTGAACATGGGGCTCAATAAGGAGATGCCATTTTCACCCAAACCCAGCAGAAGCAAGCCTACTTTATGAGAGGTTTATCATTCCCCATCCTTGGCTGGGACTGCTGCTTGACCCCTGGAGCAATTACGTTTTCAGCTGTTCTGGGAACCTGATCTGGAATTCCTGTTGTTTATAACACTCATACATACATGCTCTTTTTCCATCAAGAAGTTACTGTAAACTTGGAAAGAGAGACCCCAACACCTCCCTCCAAGTAGGGGAAGATGGATATAGTGTCAAGCTCAATTAGATCCAATTGTGGTGGCTTTCCTTAAAGCGAACAATGCAGCTTTTGTCAATGGACTCCCAGCAGAAAGCTTGGAAGTCTTGGAAAGGAGGGACTAGAACAACACATGCCCCAAAGCCCAGACCCTGAGATAGTCCAGGTCCTTAGGATGTGAAGGAGATGGTGTTTCTTTTTAAGAGGGCCGGAGTCAGGCACTGCTTTCCCTTTGAAATGCAGCACGGCATTAAGAGCTGAGTTGGGCAGAGCTGGCAGTGAGTGTGCCCAGTCCAGCCTCAGCCAGAACGGCTGTGCAGGCAGGGGCTGGGCAGGCAGGCAGGTGCGGGCACCGAGGGCACCTCCCGTGGCAGGGCATCCCACCTGGAGCAGCACCCAGCCAGGCTGCTGGAGCGGGGAACAAAGTGGCCTGCTCAGCGCTGCAAGTGCTTAAAATGCAAATGTACAGGAACTTCAGACCATCCCCCTCCCTCCTCCTCGGCGCGGAGGAAAGCAGCTTAAATACAGCCAGGCCTGGAGAGGAATGTTAAAAAGAGGGGAAGAATCGCCCTCCTCCTTTCCATAGGGACTCGGTCCCGGCCAGATTGAGTATGCATGACTGAGCAAGCAAGCAAGGACAGCTCCTCTTTTAACTTTCCTGAACAATGGCTCTGCCTTCTTCCACCATTTCGCATTCCCCCTCCTTGGAGGCAGGAAGGGGGCAGCGGGCGAGCGAGCCCCGCCGCCGGGCTGGGGAGACGGACGGGCTTTGTGGCTGCCCTATAAACACCGCTCACCCTGCAACAATACAACACCCCGCGCCGGGGAGGCCAGCGAGGGACCGCCGCGGGTTAAAAGTCATAACGTCGAGGAGAAAGATTATGGTAGAGGACAAAGGACACCTTAGATTATTCAAACTTTTTTTTTTTTTTTTGAACACGGTTCCACTTTTTACTTTCTCTTTTATCTTCGGCTGGGTAGTGGAAATCAAGCAAGACGTTTCAGATTTTCCAGGTCTGCGAGGGCGCAGGGTTTTGGTGGTTGTCAGTGCTGGGAAATGTTTTTATTTAATGGGTCTTCCATCCGGGGAGGTCCACGATTTAAATCACTAAAAATTTCTCCACTAAGCAATTCATCTGAAGCTTAAAAAAATTAAGAAATACAGGCCTTCTTCCCCCCCTCCCAAATCCTCTATCACCAAGCAGTCGATTCAGCTGCAAGTGTCAGCACTTTAGGTTTGTGTGACCTCAGACTCAGAAGTCTGAGCGGGGTTTGTCCCCAGGGATGCTGCCAGCACCCTCGCAGCCACGGCTGGTCCTGCCAAGCCCCCTCCTCACCAGCTCCTGCTGCTGACGGTACCCAGCATCCTGCACAGGAGGAGGCTCCTGGCCTTCCTCAGCAGAGCAGCCCCAGTCCCACCATCAGCCACCAGGCTGTTCTGACCAAGCCCAACAGACACACACGGCTTCAATAAGTACAGACAACACAGATACGGCTTTTTTTTTTTTTTTTCAAAAACATACTTCATATTTCCTCTTTTATTATATAAATATGTTTAACCTTTTACTGTAAGAATATAAAATGTTTTAAGAGGATCTTTGTTATTTTTTTATACAAATTCACAAACAGTACAATTAATCCATAGGGGTCTCCGGGTTTGTGTTAACTCCGTGGTCTGGCCTATTACTGTGGAGGATTTGAGATTTTGAACAGATAAGCAAAAAAAAAGCCAAGATATTTAAAAACAAAAACAAAAAATCAAAACAAAACCCAAACTTACTCTTCCACTTTCAGATAATAATTAAAAAATAATCTAAAGACCCAGCTCCATTTTATTGACAGAACAGAGATAAGACAGATGAACTTCAGTCTCCTCCCCTTCACATGGCAGCCCTGGGGCCTGCAGGCCAGCTCTGCTCCTCTCCACCTACAAACAGGAAGCCTGGCATAGTGACCTTTTGTAGGTGGCTTAGGAGGGGAGGGGAAAGCACTTGCATATATCCATATATATAATTTTTCTTTTTTGAAACAAACTTGCATTTTACACATTTCTGTTAACAGTAGCCCAATCCGCAGTGTGGATTCTCATGTTACATATTTGTGCTAGAAGAGTAAAAATGCAAAAGCACAGTTTGGGTCCCCAGTTCCCAGTGAAGAAGGAGGGAGAGGCACAACCAGAATGTGGAGGTGGGACACAGTAGGGTAAGCCTAAAAACAAAAATTTAAAATTAAAAACAAAAATTTAAAATTAAAAAAAAAATTAAAAAGGGGTGGGAGTGGAGGAGAGGATAAAATAAGAACAAACCCAAGGGGCATTATTCCAGTCTAGGCACAAAAATGTTTCAGTCTCAAAATCTCTTTCCTGTAAGAATTCCAGGGCTTTTGAGGAGGGAAAAAAAAAAAGTAACAAATTAAAACGAGGTAGCCAGACATCATATATATATTTATATATATAGAATATATTCAGCAGAAAAAAAAGTACTTAAAAATCCACAAGAACAGCAACTTCATGTCTTTAAAAATAAAACCATGTAAGAAAATGAATACTGTAAAGGGGAGAATGAGTGAGGAAAACTGGGATCAATTACAGGATGTAAGCAAGGGATAGATGGGAGAGTAAGAGGCTGTTTTTGTAGCAGTAATTTTTTTTATGCATTTCAAAATAAAAACAGGTCACAGTATCTCAAATGAAGCAGAAATGAAGCTGGAGATTCTTCCTCATGTCCCCCAGGTAGAGAGGAGCAAAAACCCCTTTCTACCTGCTCACCCCTAAGCCAGAGAGGAATGGATATGTGGCTGGATATGTCTGTCCCTGTTGCCAAGGAGGAGGAGGGGAGAAAAAGAGAGAATGATGAAAGGGAAGACAAGTCTCAGTAACTCTCAGGGTCCCCCAGTGCACGGGAAGGCTTAAGAGAGTGGGCTCTGTGTCCAGTCCCCACAGAGACAGGAGGAGGAGGAAATGGTGTGTTCATCTCCAGTGGAGAGATGGGGAGGGAGAATGGAGTGCCTGGACTTTTCCATTACCCATAGCGCAGGATGACATGGAAACATACTGACAAAAGGGGAGGCTGTAGCTATCGCTAGTCTCAGTGCAGTGGAGAACTGGAATAGTGGGAGGTTGTATCCACCCACAGCAGAGAATAACATGAAACTGGAGACTGAAGAGAGATTTAAAAGGGAAAAAAAATCAATGTACCTAGGGAGCAGTATTTCTGTCACACATGTGTTGACAGGGGAGGGGCAAGCACAGAGGTGGAATGGTTGTTTTATCAAAAGCTCTGTCTGTGCCCAGCTCAGGTCTGTGCCCATGACTGGGTGGCTGGGTGCACAAGTGTAGCTAGGAAGCCTTTGCTGCTGTTAACTTATTTTTTGTTCCCATCTCCACTGTCCTTTATATAAACCAAAAATAATCTATTCTGAATACATGGCAGAACAAGGGTCTTTCTTTATCCATCCTTAGTGCTTGAGGGGATGGAATGTGGGAGTGGGGATAAAGAGGGGTGTCTCTAGCCCCAGTGCATAAGTGTGGGTTTCTACCTCTTCCGCAGGGAAGGATGCTGTGGGAAGGGAGAGGGCTCTGTATCCCTACCATGGAACTTGAGGCATGACCTGGAAAATGGATAGGTGCTTTCTCTCTGTCCTCCTGGTCCCCCTTCCTTCTCCTCCTCCTCCACAGCAAGGATAGGTAGGCAGCACAGAAGGGTCGAGGACAGACCCTCTCTCTGTGTTCCTCCCTGCGGTGCCAGAGTGCGTGGGTAGCATGTTTCTGTGCATGCCCCTCTCTCTTTCTCTCCTCCTCTGCAGCAGTCAGTCAGTCAGTGAGTCCCTCCAGAGGAGATGGAGGTCTCGGGGCACCCTCCTCCTCCTCTCACCTGACCTTCTCACTCTCAGTCATTTCCCAAAGTCCCAGGTTGAGCACCTTGAGGCAGGGCAGCTGGGTGATGCGCTCCAGGCCCCGCTTGGTGATGCGGGTGCAGCCGTAGAGGTCGATGCCTGTGAGCTGGCTGAGGTGTTCGGCGATGAGCTCCAGGCCCTTGTCAGTGATGCGGACGCACTGGCCGATGTTGAGGGTGCGCAGCCCATGCATCTGCCGCACCATGCGGTTGATGCCCTCGTCGCTGATGTGGCAGGAGCAGAGTGACAGCGAGCGCAGCCCGTCGAGGCCCTGTGCGATGTAGGCTAGGCTCTGGTCCCCCACCTTGTCGCAGAAGGAGACGTCGAGCCCCGACAGCCGCAGGCTGCCCATGGCCAGGTGCATGATGCCCGTGTCGCTGATGTTGTCGCAGGAGCGCAGGTTGAGGCTCTTGAGGCGCTGCAGGCCCCAGGCGATGAGCAGCAGGCCGGTGTTGGTGATGTTGCTGCAGCCTCCGAGCTCGAGCACCTCCAGGCCCTTGAGGTACTGGGCGATGCGGCCCAGGCTGCTGTCCGTGATCTGCTTGCAGAGGCTCAGGTTGAGCGAGCGCAGGGAGCTGATCTCCGCCACGAAGGCGTGGCTCAGCCCGTTGTCGGTGAGGTTGTAGCAGCCGCTGAGGTTGAGGCTCTCGATGTCCGCCATGCCCTGGACCACGTAGCTCAGGCTGCGCCGCAGCGACA